CCCCCCCCCCCCAACACAACACGTCTGAGCCCCCTACAAAACCGCGACCAAAATATTAATCTCCCAAATAAATCGAGCAACAGCAGCAGCAGCAACAGCAGCACACCTTGTCGTTGAACTCCTCCACGGTGTACAAGGGTAGCGCCTCCGTCCTAGGCACGAGCCGTTCCTCCACTTCTTCGCCGTCATCCCCCTTCTCTCCCGTGTACTCCTCGTTGATGAGCTCGACGCACCCGCACAGGTTGGCCGCACCCTTGCGGAAGTACCTGATAGCATCACAATGGTAGATGTAAAAAAAAAGAACAGGACAATGAATGGAGGATGAAAAGACACACCACGCCGAAAAAAAGAAGAAGTACTCCGCTCCGGAGTGCTACAATATGTAGCAGTAGAGATAAAACAATGAAGGGAAACAAGAACGAAGCGTACAAGAGCTTTATAAGACACAAGCAAACAAACCGGGCTCGCTCTCCCAACGTTGCAGTCCAAAAAACGGCCGCGGTGATTTCGACGAGGGTTAGCAATGTTTTATTCCTTCCACTCTTTGAGGGGAGATGAAAGCAGCAATCGTGCTACGCTAGCCTACCGTAAGGATGCGAGTCAGCTAGAGCACAGGGGTGCAAGCGATTTTCAATGCGTAATGTATCCACAACCAGGAGGTTACCACTGTCGAACATGGTGGTTTTGGAAATATCTCATCGAGAGCTTTCCTGAGAAGTATCACTTGGCGCTCGCACCCTTCCGGCCGTAGAGAAATCACGCTTAGAACATCGCTCGCACCCACCCCTGCCTGTGCGCGGACTCGCAACCTTACGGTACTACGCGTTTTCCCTCTCTTCCGGGCTCCCCGATCACTGCTCTGGTCGAGCCTAGGCCAGAAATAACGCCTCCTCTCCCGGAGCCCCCCGTCCCCTTAGTGGGGGCTCTTCCAAAGCTCCAAAAGGTTCCGGCTTTCGCTTTCGGAAATCCCTACTTCGCACCTTGGTTGTATTGGCAAGCAGCATGATGTACGACGACGACCGGAAGCAAATCCGCCACCCCACAAGAAGCGCGTCTATTTAGATCGCGTCACGGCGAAAATGAGGAGATCGCGCTACGACGCAGTCAAGCTAACACCGGCAACAAGGACGAGTACGACGAGTACGACGACGACGACGACTACGTCTACGACTAGGACAAGGGCAAGGACAAGGACAAGGACAACGGCCATCACGAGAGCGGCGGTGCCACCATCACAACAACAACAACAACAACAACAACAGCAACATCAACAACAGCAACACCACCACGACCGACAGCAGCAACACCACTTACCGTATATGACACAAGATAACACACCCTCTTGACCAATTTTCGAAGCTCGATTTCTCAGCTGCAGGAACAGCCACAGCGCCGAAAACGGCGGCGTCGAAACCGTCTCGTCGAGAGCTTTTCGAAAATGTGTTGTTTCGTTTATGCATCCTCTTCGTCGTGGAGTGATCGAGCTTTGAACATCGGTCCAGGGGGTGTGTTATCTTGTGTCATATACGGTACACTACAAATAGCAGCAACAGCTCGTACCGTACCTGCGATACTGCTTCCGAGTCTCGAAGACCACGAAGCCCATCGCGACTAATGCGAACCATATCGGGAAGCCGACATCCCTGAACACCCCGAAGCTCCCGATCTGCTCCGAACGCCAACAACAAATTGTCGTACACACGCCAGTGAAGTGTCAGCAGCAGCAGAAGGTTGTTGCGGTGATGCCGAGCTCGCGGGGACAAGGTTAAATAACGCAATCCCCAGCGGCCATGTCCACCTTCTCCGCACCTACAAACAACAGCACGCGAACGCATCCCACTGGGGCCATATCCACATGTTGTTGTTGTTGTTGTTGTTGTTGTTGACGGAACATTTAAAAAAAACACACGGCGAAATAACCCACTCCAGGGGTTCAACTCGCCTCGAGGTCCAAGCCATCTCCCGCGGACAGCACGAGGTTGTCGTCGCTCGACACCAGCTCCAGCCCCCGGTAGCACTGCACCACGCCGGCCAGGTAGGCGAAGCGCCCGGCCCAGATGTGGAAGTGCTTGTTGAACTGGTGGAGGGAGGGGGGAGGGGGGGGGGCAAGACACATGAATATAAGTTGCTGGTTGTTCATGTCGTGGTCGTAGCCGTCGTTGGGACCGTTATTGGTTGCTGTTGGTGTCGTTTTCCCAACTCAAGGCTTGCTTCAGTGTGTGGGTGAAAGGAAGTCGATCTGCCCTGCCTGTAGCACAAGAAATCGGCATGCTAGGCCTCTCTCCATCTCTCTCTCACTTCTCTCTCTCTTCTCTCTCTCTTTCTTGACACGAAGAAAGCAAACTGACAAAAAAAAAATCCACGATTACCTCCACAAACATGTAAAAAAAAAAAACACGAAACCCCAACCCAGAAACAAATCGACCTATCTACCCTGTGTAGGAAGGAGAAGTTGGCACCCTCGGCTTCCAGGGCCTTGACCCGCATGAAGCCCGTGAGCAGCTGGACGGCTACGGCCGCGATCATGTAGTAGCCCCAGTGGGCGTGGTTGGTCGTGTGGTCGCCGCCCGAGGCAAACACCGCCGTGATCTGCCCTCCGCGGTGATCGACCCGGTCAAACGAAACGGCGCCCGGAGATCACCCACACAGAAAACGGATGGACGCGTCGAAGGTGGAAGATGGTGCAAAATCGTCAGCCAGTCAGTCAGTCAGCCAGTCAGTCGCACGCCGGTGTTTTCGCAGAATAATCTTTTCGCGAGGGGAAAAACAACCAAAAGCGGGAAGGAAACAAACGGCCGACGCTGCAAATGCATCGCAAATCGCAACAACACTCCCCCCCCCCCCCCCCCCCCCCCCCCCCCCCCCCCCCCCCCCCCCCCCCCCCCCCCCCCCCCCCCCCCCCCCCC